CTCGCCCTGCCCCCACCCCGGGCTGCCGTGAACAGGCTGCTGGACCCGGCACAAGCTGGGATCAAGCAGTCCCGGCTTGCACCAGTCTGGGACCACTGCAGCTCTGCCTTTTAAATGTAGTAAAAGCCACCTGGCGCTTCCTACATTTAAAAGGCAGAAGTGCAGTGGTCCAGGACCCGGCGCGAGTTGGGACTACTCAGTCCTGGATCATGCCTACTCCGGGAGCTAGCCTCACTGCAGGTCTGCAGAGCTCTTCTCCTTATTGACTAATTGTGTAGTCGATACCGATGGTATTGACTACATGATTAACGAAATACCTGCTCCTTAACTCTTAATCCATGCAGATGCCATGTTACGTTAACAGGCTCAGTACTGAAAACTATGGAACATGTAGGGTTGGAGCTGAGTAAAACTTTTCACTTTTCCCCTGTCTCTTTTTCTCCCAGTAAAATGGCACTTTAGGCTGACAAACATTTTGTGAATTCCTGTTATTTTCACCAAATTATTTTAGTAAAAAAACCCCAGTGCCTGCAAAGTTAAAAGTTTTGACAAATTTTGCTTCTCTTACTCAAAATGACTTCAATTTAAAAAAAAATCCTTCAACTTTATTAACAATATTTAGCATACGGTCAAGCCATATGTTTTTTTATCTGTAACATTTTTTTAACTCAATCTGTTTAATGTTGGGGAATTTATTTCAAGTTGACACGATTTTTTTAATTCTTCAGAACAGGCAGCAAATTTTTTTAAAAAAGTTTGCTGTATAGCACAAGTCCAAATCCAATTCAGGAAACCCTTCAGCATTTGCTTAAATTTAAGTCAGTCAGATAGGTGGATGCTTAAATGCTTCACAGGATCAGATCTGGAGTGTTCAGCACTTTGCAGGATCTATTCCATAGTACTTCTATTGTAATATGGATAATAGTAGGTTTTTGGTAAGTTGTGCTGAGTTTAGGGATGTTAAATTTTGATTAATCAACTATTGACTAGTTGATGGAATTGAAGGTAGGGAGCTTGGGGGGGCTCCTCCAGTAGTATAGTAAATATAGTACCTGTCTCCAGAGGTCAAGGGTTTGAACTCCCACGTCCAACATGCGGTCACCTCAGACCAGCTTGGCAATAGATGCACCTGGCACCCTTGGGACATAAGAAAGTCAAGAGGGGCCCTTGGGACTTTTCCTACATTTCAAAGGAAGAGGCACAGCAGTGGGACAAGCTCCTCCCAGCACTGGTTTCTGTTCCACCCCTTGCTGCTTCTCTCTGATAGAGGCAGCAAGTGGAGGAGCAATTAGTCAAGTCACCACTTGACCAGGCTTATCAGTGTTTCCCAATTTTATTTGGCCACGGAACTCCTAGAGTTGCCTTTAAAAAAAAAAGGCCTCTGCCGCGTTTTGTTGAATCAAAAAAGCCCTCACCATGGCTCTGTCTCTTTAACAGGGGGTGGGGGAGTGCTGGCTCTTTGCAGAACCCTTGCTTTCGCTTCGCGGATCCCCAGGGTTCTCCGGAGCACCAGTTGGGAACCACTGAGGTAGTCGACTATTTGCTTATATCCCTAGGTGAGTTAGTTTTAATGTGTTGACTCTTTTTAAGTATGTCATTCAATATCATTAGAAATTGAAAATATACCATGATCCTGGGGTTGCCAGATGGTTTCAACAAAAATACATTTGATTTTTGTTGATATTACATCACAAAAATGACAATTGATATTACATCACAATCTACATTACATCTTATTTAGAAAATACCAGACATTTATATTTTCTCGTATATATATTCTCAATTTGTTTCCCAAACAGAAAGCTCAAATACTGGACTGTCTGGTTCAAAACCAGACACTTAGCAACCCTAATCCTGGCCTTATTTCCCTTCTCATCTACCTTAAATTCAAAACTAAAACAAAATAAATAAAGCCATTATTTATGAAGCTAGTAAAATTAAGATACACTCTTTAAAACCAAAACAATTTAGCTCTAATGTTTTATGAGCCTTGTGGTTCTCTGTGTTTCTATGGCCATACAGAATACTTCTAGGACAACTGTACTCATACAGACCCACTGACATTTCATCAAATAAGAGATTTCCCCCTTTAAGGGAAGGTGTAAAAGAAAAAACACAGGAGACAGATTAAATGATTAATGCATATGAGAAATACTTCAAAAAGGTTGTACTTTCAACAAACTCATTGATCTCAGAAGCCAGTTTTGGAATCTACATTTTGTATTTTATTATAACCAATATTTTTATTTATGAATTATTGTTATAAATGTATATGGTGAGTATGGAAACTGTAAAATGAAAAGTCTCTGAATATGCAAATTTAAAATTGAAGCATAAGAACATAAGAATGGCCATTCTGGGTCAGACCAAAAGTCCATCCTGCCTAGTATCCTGTCTGCTGACAGTGGCCAATGCTAGGTGTCTCAGAGGGAGTGAACCGAACAGGTAATGATCAAGTGGTCTCCTCCTGCCATACATCTTCACCCTCTAACAAACAGAAGCTCGGGACACCATTCGTTACCCATACTGGCTAATAGCCATTAATGGACTTAACCTCCATGAATTTATCTAGTTCTCTTTTAAACCCTGTTATAGTCCTAGCCTTCACAACCTTCTCAGGCAAGGAGTTTCACAGATTGACTATGCGCTGTGTGAAGAAGAACTTCCTTTTATTTGTTTTAAACGTGCTGCGCATTAATTTCATTTGGTGGCCCCTAGTTCTTACATTATGGGAACAAGTAAATAACTTTTCCTTATTCACTTTCTCCACACCACTCATGGTATTATAGACCTCTATCTTATCCTTAGTCTCTTATCCTTAGTCTCCTCTTTTCCAAGCTGAAAAGTCTGTCTCTTTAATCTTTCCTCATATGGGACCCGTTCCAAACCCCTAATCATTTTAGTTGCCCTTCTCTGAACCTTTTCTAATGCCAGTATATCTTTTTTTGAGATGAGGAGACCACATCTATACGCAGTATTCAAGATGTGGGCATACCATAGATTTATATAAAGCAGGGTTTCCCAGCCTATGGGAAATTTCAAAAGAGTTGCCAAGTGTGTCCCCAGGTGGCTCTGCTCTCCCTCCTCCCCCTGTTTTTGAATTGCCTTGGGTCACCAAGTCTTTCTGAATTTCCCGTCTGGAAAAGTTTAGGAACAGCTGAGGGCAATAAGATATTCTCCATCTTATTCTCTATCCCTTTTTTAATGATTCCTAACATCCTGTTTGCTTTTTTGACTGCCGCTGCACAAAATGTGGACATCTTTAGAGAACGATGCACGATGACTCCAAGATCTCTTTCCTGATTAGTTGTAGCTAAATTAGCCCCTATCATATTATATGTATAGTTGGGGTTATTTTTTCCAATGTGCATTACTTTACATTTATCCACATTAAATTTCATTTGCCATTTTGCTGCCTAGTTTTGTGAGATCTTTTTGAAGCTCTTCACAGTCTGCTTTGGTCTTAACTACCTTGAGCAGTTTAGTATTGTCTGCAAACTTTGTCACCTCTCTGTTTATCCCTTTCTCCAGATCGTTTATGAATACGTTGAATAGGATTGGTCCTAGGACTGACCCTTGGGGAACACCACTAGTTACCCCTCTCCATTCTGAAAATTTATCATTTATTCCTACCCTTTGTTTCTTGTCTTTTAACCAGTTCTCAGTCCATATTAGGACCTTCCCTCATATCCCATAACAACTTAATTTACGTAATAGCCTTTGGTGAGGGACCTTGTCAAAGGCTTTCTGGAAATCTAAATATACTATACAGTATCTACTGAATCCCCCTTGTCCATATGTTTTTGACCCCTTCATACAACTCTAATAGATTAGTAAGACATGATTTCCCTTTACAGAACCATGTTGACTTTTGCCCAACAAATTATGTTCTACATGTCTGACAATTTTGTTCTTTACTATTGTTTCAACTAATTTACCCGGTACTGACATTAGACTTACTGGTCTGCAATTGCCAGGATCACCTCTAGAGTCCTTTTTAAATATTGGCGTTACATTAGCTATCTTCCAGTCGTTGGGTACAGAAGCTGATTTAAAGGATAGGTTACAAACCATAGTTAATAGTTCCTTAATTTCACATTTGTGTTCTTTCAAAACTCTTGGGTGAATTCCATCTGGTCCTGGTGACTTGTTACTGTTAAGTTTATCAATTAATTCCAAAACCTCCTTTAATGACACTTCAATCTGTGACAAATCCTCAGATTTGGATGGATTCATGCTAGATGAGATTTTGACAAATTTTTTACAATATCAAAGAAGCATTTATAAAATGTTTTTTGCTTTGCTAGAAGACTATAAAAAGGTAACCAGGAAAAGTATACATTTTTCCTCTGGGGAAAAAAACTAGCTGAATATATTTTGACTAAATTACACAAGATAATTTCTAGACAGAGAACCTCTGTTTCAGTTCAGAACAGTTTTGAATGGTGATGTTAAAAGAAGTGTTGAATATTGATTTTTCTGATTAAAATGCTGAGTTATGTGCAACAATAATGTAATGGGGACTGTCTGGCTAATCAGCAATTCTGCAGAAAATGACCCGGAGATTACAGTGGATGAGAAGCTGGATGAGTCAACAGTGTGTCCTTATAGCCAAGAAGGCTAATGGCATACTGGGGGTGTATTAATAGGAGCATTGCCAACAAATCTAATGAAGTGATTATTCCCCTTTATTCAGCACTGGTGAGGCCATATCTGGAGTACTGCATCCAATTCTGGGGGCCCCATTACAGAAAAGATGTGGATACATTGGAGAGAGTCCAATGGAGGACAACAAAAATGATTAGGGGGCTGGAGCACATGATTTATGAGGTGAGGGTGAGGGATTCGGTGTTATTTAGTCTACAGAAGAGAAGAGTTCGGGGGATTTGATAGCAGACTTTAATTATCTGAAGAGAGCAGGGCCAGCTTTAGGAAGTGCGGGGCCCAATTCGAACAATTTCGATGGGGCCCCACAGCAATTTTGGTTGAGCAAAAAAAAAAGGCACACAAAAAATCCCCAGCTACCTCCCTCACCAAGCCCCGGAGGTAGCTAACACCTCCCTCCTCCTGCCCGTGGCACAGGGAAACCCTATGCTCAACTCACACCTCCTGCAGTGCAGGCAGCCGCCACACTCCTCCAGGGCCGACGCCCTCTCCCACAGTGCGCCCAGCACACTTCTGGGTTCAGAGCGTGGGGCCCAATTCAGGGGAATCAGGTGAATCGGCCTAAGGCCGGCCCTGTAAGGGAGGTTCCAGATAAGACGCTGTTCTCAGTGGTGACAGATGACAGAATGAGGAGCAATGTTCTCAAGTTGCAGTGGAGAGGTCTAAGTTGACTATTAAGAAAAACTATTTTACTAGGTCCAGGTCTACTCTAGGAAGCTATTTCAAATTAACTCCCCTTATTTCAAAATAGTAAGCGAAGCATCTACTCGACCAACCATGTTATTTCAAAATAACAGGCTGGTTATTTTGAAATAATAACTCCTGCCTTTCATGGGGAGCTAAGCTTATTTTGAAATAGTATTAGTGTGGATGCTCCGCTGCTGCTATTTCGAAATAAGTTCTCCCCAGAGTAATTTGAAGTAATTACTCCTCAGTGCTTCTTGGGGCTCTAAGTTGAGATAGTGCATCCACAATAATAGAGCTTGCTTTGGACTAATTTCAAGGCTCCCCCGTAATGGGGACATAGTATTTCGATTTTGTTATTTCGGGAGTTATTATTTTCAATTTAGTTATTTTGAAATAATTTCCTTGTGTAAACATGACGTAGGAAGGTGGTGAAGCACTGGAATGGATTACTTAGGTAGACTCTCCATCCCTCGAGGTTTTTAAGTCCTGGCTTGACAAAGTCCTGATTGGGATGATTTAGTTGGGATCGGTCCTGCTTTTATCAGGGGATTGTACTTTTTTATTCATTGCTGAGCATGCAAAAATTATGTTTCTCTCTGCAAAAGAGAAGGTTTTCTAAACTCTAATTCATCTAGTCATCTATTAAGCAAAAACATTTATATATGTTTAATTTTAAATATGTGAACAGTCCCACTAAAATCAATGATATTGTTCACAAGCTTAAAATTAAGCATTACTTCAGTACTTTGCTATATCAAGGCTTATACCATTAGTAATTTTATATGTATATATATTTTATTTATAGTGGAGTGGTCTTCTTATACCAGTGGTTCTCAAACCTTTTGGTTAGTGGCCTACCCTGTTTAACGCATAACTCTGCGGACCACCAGCCAACCATCCATGATGACAGGATGGGTGCAAGAGTGGGGTGGATATATGAGTTCGGGGTATGAAGGAGGGAGGGTACAGGAGCAGGATGGAAGTCGGGGGAGGGCCTAGGAGATAGGGATGGGAGTAGGATGGGAGCACAGGGTGTGGGCATGAAGGGTTTGGCCTACCCTGTTTAACGCATAACTCTGCGGACCACCAGCCAACCATCCATGATGACAGGATGGGTGCAAGAGTGGGGTGGATATATGAGTTCGGGGTATGAAGGAGGGAGGGTACAGGAGCAGGATGGAAGTCGGGGGAGGGCCTAGGAGAT